TGAAGTATTACATTCAAGAAAGCACTCTTGACATCCATTTGATATAATTTGAATCCTAATGTGCAGGCAACAGTCAGAAGAATTCTAATGGATTCAAGTCTAGCTACCGGGCAAATGTTTCATCAAAGTCAACTCCTTCAACCTGAGTATATTCTTGGGTAACTAACCTAACCTTATTCCTAGTTATGGTACCTTGATCATCGATTTTATTCTTAAATATCCATTTAGTACCTATAACATTACAATAATCAGGCCTAGGAACTAAATACCATACGTTATTTCTCACAAACTGATTTAGCTCACCATGCCTTGCATTTACCCAACATTAATCCCTAAGGGCATCTTTGACTTTCTTAGGTTCAATCTGAGACACATAACTAGCATATGTCAGGTTGTTCAAAACCTTCTTACGAAGTCTCATCCCTTCATCCAAATTCCCTATAATATTCACTTTAGGATTATTAGTATTAACTCTGGATGAATGTTCCTTAGAAAGTTTAGTTTTATCATCAGGTGATGACTCCTTATTAGATGTATCTAAACTATTAGAAGTGTACGAGGGATTGGGAATTGAAGTTTCTTTAGGTTCAGTTACCATGATGGGTTTAACACTCAAGTGTTCCAACTCTACCCAATCTCCTCCTCACTACATGCATCATCTACCACTACATTGATGAACTCCATTACAACCCACGTACGAGAATTGTATACTCCATAGGCTCGACTATTTCTGAAGTATCCTAGGAAAATTCCCTCATCGCTTTTGGAATCAAACTTGCCCAAATTTTCTCTATCTTTCAGAATATAGCACTTACTACCAAATACACGAAAGTACTTGATCGTAGGCCGTTTACCTTTCCAAATCGCATATGGTGTCATATCAGTTTTAGGTCTAAGATAAACTATGTTTACTATGTGACACACAGTGTTGATGGCTTTACCCCAGAAATGCATAACTAATCCCTTACTATAAAGAATGGCTCTAACCATTCCTTGAAGCATACGATTTTTCCTCTCAACTACCCCATTTTGTTGTAGAGTGATTGGCGAGGAGAGCTCATGCTGGATTCCTTCCTCTAGGAAGAAGTTCTCAAGATTCAAGTTTTCAAACTCTTTTCCATGATCACTACGAATTCTCGATATAGTAAAGTCTTTCTCATTTTTAAGTCTTTTGCACAATGACATAAAAAGACTGAACACCTCAAATTTTTCTCTCAGCAGCTCAATCCAAGTATATGGAGAGAAATAGTCAACCACAACCAATATACAGCGTTTACCACCATGACTCTCGGTCCTAAATGGTCCTATTAAGTCTATATAGAGTAATTCAAGTGCTTGCTTGTCAAGATTTTAGAAGTTTGTTTATGAGTTACTCTAAGCTGTTTACATTGTTGACACAAGCCACATAAAGTGTTATCAATATTTTTCAAGTTAGGTAAACCATTAACAAGTTTCTTCTTGGCGAGCTTAGAGAAACTCTTATAGTTCATATGACCAAGGCATTGATGCTACAGTTCAGTTACATCAATCTTGGCAGTACTGTACACGTAGTTGGAATTGGAATAACTCCATAACAACTGTCCGAAGTTCTTACTCATTCGAGGACAACGTTACCAGTAGAATCATACACAGTACACATTTTCTGGATAAAACTAACCTCAAAATCAGCATCGCATATTTGACTAATACTTAACAAGGTTGGACTTTAACCCTAGGATAGGTGCAGTAGCCCCATCTCCAAAAGTAATCATATCGCTATTCCAATCATCGAGAGAAGAGAATAAGGCTTGTCACCACACATATGTCTAGAACATACACTATCAATACACCACATAGAGTTATTTTGAGCTTTAAGTACAACGTGGGCAACATAACAAGTCAACTGATCAGCAGACCTATGAAGATCAATTTTCTTAACACAAACTTTCTTAGTAGTAGAAGTGATTCTAGCCAACTGAGTCATCATCTTAGTTAAATGGCTAACCTGACTGGCGAGGAAGTTAACCTTACTCGAGAATTCCTGACTTTTACTTCTAGTTACGACACATATGTCTTGTGTGTCCCAGTGCGCCACAATGGTGACAAGTGAGAATAAACCTATGTTCAAACCTACTCTGAGATTGCTGTTGATTTATAGGACGATTGACCCTACGTTGTCTATCAGGTCTCGATCCAAAAACATTCTTATCATTGGGTTCAGGATTAACGGTATTCCAAGCTTTGTTAGTAGCTGGGACGAACGTGGTCTTAGATGTACTAGCAGTAGTATTACCATTTTGAACGTAACCCAGACCATGCCTATTTCCAGTAGGCTTGTTCATCCCTAACAGATTATCTAGTTTCTATTTGCCACTCATAAAGGAATGAAGTTGAGTGTTAGATCTTTCAAGATCACTTGTTAATGATTTAACTTTGGCTTTTAAATTCTCATTAACAAACTTCAACTCACTCAGATTTTTGGTATAGTCTTGAAGGTCAGCTATGAGTTTCTATTTCTCTCTTTCAAGTTCATTAACCTTTTTCAGTACGACTTTATTGACCTTCTTGATTTTAAGACTCTCCTCAAATAATTTTCGATAAGACTCATGAATATCGGTCTCATCCTCAGAATCTTCCTCAAATTTTTCACTCGTTCTTCATTCTCAACCTTTTCATTCTCCTTATCAGATTAAATCTTAGTTATAGATGTGAAGGTGATAAAATTTTGTTCATCCTCACCACCAGAGGTATCACTCTAAACACTCGAATCTGATTCATCATCGCTCAAGGTCACTGCTAATGCCTTACGCATTCCTTTATTCAAATTCTTTTTTAAGTTATGACATGCATTCCTATAGTAACTAAAACCCTGACACTCGTGGCATCTAACTGACTGGGTTTTCTTATTAGAAGTTCTAGGGTTATTCTTCTCACATTTATCGTTCGAGAATTTACTAGGGACATCATTTTTTCATTTTTGAGGTTTTCTCGTATTTCTCATCACTTTCTGGAATTTTTTAACGAAATAAGTTATTTCGTCGTCCCTAAGGGTCTCAACATCAGACAATTCACTCTCTTCTTCCCTAATAGTATTGATGGCTATGGATTTAGACTTTTACGGTTGAGATATGGTGAGTTCATAGATTTGGAGAGATCCTGCGAGTTCCTCTATCTTGACTAAATCTAAATACTTACTTTCTTCAATCGCGGTGATCTTAGGTCTAAACCTTTCAGGTAGGGATCTAAGAACTTTTCTAAAAATTTTAGACTCGGGGATCTTCTTACCTAGGATGAAACTCGAATTAACTATATCATTAAGTTTCGTATAGAATTCATCAAACGATTCATCGTCCTTCTTTCTAATTTCTTCAAAGCTAGAGGTCAATATCTGCAGTTTAGAGTTTTTAACAGTTTTAGTCCCCTCGTGTGTGGTTTCTAATATATCCCAAACTTCTTTAGTAGTTTCATACATCGATACTCTCCTAAAGTCCTTAGCAGACACAACCATGAACAGGGCATGAAGACCTTTATTGTTCCAGTTACACTCGGCTAAGTCATCTTTAGTCTAAAGTGAAATAGCAGTGGGTATAGCTACACCAGCAACAGTGGTTGAAGGTGTAGTCCACCCAGTTTGAACACTTATACAAATACTCTCATCCAGTATTTTAAGGAAAACTCTCATTCGAACTTTCCAATAAGCATAGTTGCTTCCGTCGATAAACGGAGGCACAGACAAGGACTGACTCATCTAGAATTATTTAAGGGTCTGGAATCAAAATCAGGCTTTGATACCAATTGAAATAACGAGGTTCGACCCAAACTACACCTAGAGTGAGGGTGAATACGTGATTATGCGGAATTAAAACTTAAAACCCCCAACTAGGTAAAAACTTTGAGCACTTTTTTAGTCAGAAATCCACTATAAACGATTATGAACTTACAGTTTGCCAGACACGACTATCACTAGTACTTTCTGACCTCTTGACTGTAATTTTCACTGCTCTCCTGGATTGCGTGCTTCTGTACAAACTTCTAACTGCAGTTTTCAAAGCCCTCCCATAGCAACTCCCAACTTTAAACATGCGAATTCAAATTTTTCGGAAAACCCTGTCGCTTGAATGAAAGTTGAGCGACAGGCGAGCGACAGTGTGTCGTTCGAGCGAAGGCAAGGCAATAGGCGGGTGACAATGTTTATGTTTCTCACGTTCGAGCAAAGTCATGGCAACAATCTAGCGAAATTGCTGCGCCGTTTTTCCTTCTTTTCCATTTTTGAACCCTAGACCTAATATACCTCAATTTCTACTATTTGCAACTTACTCCTTGACTTTCACAACATATTAATTTTAGTCTCTTTTTTTCACAGACTTGCCAATTACATAAAAAAAACCTAACAAAGTTCAATCGTGTAAAAAAAACCACGTCAAAGGACTTTCGTAAGAGAAGTTGACACCTACATGCGTCCTATGATAGACATATTCGTGAATAGATACACTACATGACTATATTCAACACTGCAGTTTTATCGATTGTTATAACAAAATGCAGTTTGTTTATGTGAATAAGTCCTTGTTTGGTTTACCAAAAAAATAACTTTTTAATAGATATTGATAAAAGTTACGAAATGTGTGATTGAAAAGTTGTAGATCTCATTAAAAGATATGTAACATGTCCAAAGATTTAGATAAAATATTCTATGATCAAGTAAAATTTAATTTTTGGATCGCTCAATATACTACAAGTGCACTAGTGTCACCATTAAACTGTTTATGCGATAAGGACAAATCGCAAACTCGAATAGTGAAATAGTCAACACTATAACCTTCAACCACAAGATGTAAACCTTTATACATTGATTGTGAACAATTATATTTATGATCGAAATATAAGTTATGTCATACTATACTTCTCAATATAAGCACTCAACTTATATTATCACAAGTGATCCCTCATATTCGCATGCTCAATAATAAATAAAATGTAATAACACTATGTAAAAACATGGTTTATTTATTATAAAACTGTCATTTTACTACGGCCAAACCATACTGCATGGACACACAATTCAACAATTAAAGAATATGCATTAAAAAGATTGTGGAGTGGCAATAACAAGCACGGGAAACTTTTTATGAACAGTGAGTCCAGTGCCTTCAGTCATGTCAATATCACTCTCTTTTCCTCCATTAGGCAATGCTAAGTTGAATTTGTGCACTAATTTTGCCAATGCAAGTTCATTAACAACCATGGCAAATGCAACACCTGGACAACCTCTCCTACCTGCACCAAATGGTATGAGCTCGAAGTTAAGCCCTTTGAAGTCTATGTCCGTTTCGAAGAACCTTTCCGGACAAAATTCGTTAGGGTTTTCCCACAATGACGGGTCTCTTCCGATTGCCCAAGCATTGACAAGCACTTGTGTGCCTGCTGCAATGTCATAGCCCATGAGTTTAATTGATTGGGTTGATTCTCGAGGAACCAGCAATGGAATGGGAGTATGAAGTCGTAGACTTTCTTTAATTACAGCCCTCAAGTAAGGCATTTTCTCCAAATCATCTTCTGTTATATCCAACTTCCTTCCCGCTACTTCTCTAACCTCATTTTGCAATTTCTCCAAGATTTTCGGGTGCCTTAAAAGCTCCGCCACGGTCCATTCCAAAACAGTAGATGTTGTATCCGTTCCAGCACCAAATACATCCTGTCAGAAAGAAATAGATATTCCTAAACTGAAATTCAAATCCATAAAACAAGTTCAGCACGAGATGGAAATCTGTTTTCTAGAGTCAGATCCTTACCAGGATAACAGCTTTGATCGCATCAGTTTCCAGTCGAAAACCGGCCCGATTTTGTATCTGAATTTCAAGCAATAAGTACACAAAATCCGATACTCCGGCTTCATCACAATTTACCCCTCCTTTCATTTGCTCCCTGTGTTCTTCAACTATGCCCTCCAAAAATTCATCAAACACTTTAATCAGTTTATCCACTTTCGCATCCAAACCATTGATTTTACTAATCCAGGCAAGCCACGGGATGTAATCCCCTACATAGAAAGTACCTAACAAGTCCCCATACTCCCTCAACAACCACTTGAAAGTTTTCCCTTCTTCCCCAACACAATATTTCCTTCCCAATGCCACCCTGCACACTATATCATTTGTAAGGGATACTAATAGGTCGGTCAAGTTTATCGAGGAAGATGAAGAAAGCGATTGTCTGATTTTCTCGACCATTAGTGTTGTTTCTTCTTCTCTTACACGACGAAAAGCTTGAACCGGCTTGTTACTCAAAAGCTGTAACACACATATGCTTCTCACTTGCCTCCAGTATTCACCATATGGAGCGAACGCTATGTCCTTAGAGCCATACAAAAGTTTTTCCGCCATGCTTGATTTTGGCCTGTTGAACAAGACATATATTTTAAATAAATAAAACTATCAATTCAATAGGTATCACTTTATCCTCTTTTGTCAATAGGACTGGAGCTTTTAAGCATGCAGTTTCAATGAAAGAAAAAAGAAACGTTGACCTACACGCGACAACATGATTTTATAATCCATAGATTAGAAAAATTCATAAATCAATATATTTATCCTTCTTTTATAACTTAAGCGAGGTGGTCCATCACGACCTGTTTGAGAAAATCAAATCATGATCTTTCATGATCATTCGCGCTGCATCGGCAGAGGAGACGACCAATACTGGCACACTACCCAGGTTAAGTGAGAAAAGTGGACCATAGCGTTTAGATAGCAATTGGAGGGAGCGATGTGGTTGTAAGCCCAACTGGTGAAGGTTTCCAATGATCGGAAACCTTGACGGAGAGGGGGGTAGCTTTTTCCGGGAACTTGAAGCAGCGTTATAGAATCCTTTGCAAATGAAAATGATGAACACAATGAAGCAAAAAGGAGAAACTATCCAGAGTGTCATTTTCTTTTCTGTATTTCAAGATATTATCTTCTTAATGTCCTATTTAATATATGGGCTGATTTGCACCGCAAAGGTATCGATGTGATCATCTTGGGATTGGTCTGAATATGATGTTATTGGTCTTAATTACTTTGTTCTATCCAATGGCGGAGATAAAACCTTTACGTATCAACAATTTGTCTTAATCAACATACCTTTCTTGGCTTTCTTTTCATATTTTTTCAATCAATTTTTTCACCGATTGTTAGAATTTATTTGAGAGGAAACAAAATATATGTATCATATTTACTCGATTTTCTTTCACTTTTACGTCTCATTTGTTGTTTTGTCAAAAAAAAGAAGAACAATAGAAGGCGTGTATTGATTCTACTCATGTTTTTCTTGAATTTCTATTTTTTTTTCTTTTATTTTTCTTCTCTCGTTATGTATGGTTAAATCCAAAGTTTGGACTAATGACATACCTAGTTTTAAACCTTTATTTTCAATTATCAAGATTCTCGTGTATAGTTGTTTATGTATTGATTTTACTTCCATTATTTGTTATCTTTTGAAGTAACTGGCTACTATTTATTTACAACCACACATTCTCCAAAAAATCACTATTCCAAAACACATTTCTCAACAAAAAAAAAAAAATGGGGTTCAAATAGGGGATTATTTTGAGACAAGTCTCCATCCCTATTTCTATCAAGTTCAATAATGTCAAAAAACCCACGTCGAGGGACTTTCGTAAGAGAAGTTGACGCCTACATACGTCCTACGAGACATATTCTTGAGTAGATACACTACATGACTATATTCAACATTGCAGTTTTATCGATTGTTATAACAAAATGTAGTTTGTTTATGGTATTAAGTCCTTGTTTGGTTTAGCAATTTGGAATGCAAATTTTGTTTTGCACAAATGGGTTTCAAAACGATTGGATTTGACAAATTCATAGATATAAAATTCTTTCTCCATTCCAAGTCCATGGATCTGGTTACAACCTTAAATTCACTTACTCTCGAACCTTTGCATATTGGAAAAGTTTATGCTGGAAGGTGTTGAACCAGAGGACAATAATGATTTTGACAAGTAATATGTTCATTTGACTTCAAATTTCTCATATTTATTGTTGATAGATTAGGAAATGGGTTTGCTTAGCTAAAAATGAGAATTCATATGGGAATTACTGCAATGCTTGTAAACTGTGATATGCACCACCTTGAGCCTTATCTTGATGGACTTCATCTTAAAAGATGGGAAGAAGTGCTTGTTGCTTTTAGATTCAATTATTTTCTCAAACTTGTTTTTGTCTCACTTTTTTTATAGTCACTACTACTGCTAATTCGGATAATTATATACATGGCAGGCAACTGCCGGAATCCTCTGGAAAATTACAACTTTTGGACAAGATGATGGTCAAACTTAAAGAGCAGGGCCACAGAGTTCTGATATATACTCAATTTCAGCATATGTTGGATTTATTAGAAGACTATTGTAGTCATAGGGTATGAATGGTGAATTAGGTTTATTTAATTTAATTTACATATGAGAAGAAGCTATCTGGAAATGTTTTCTGAAACTCTCTTTTATTTGTCAGAAACGGCATTACGAAAGAATAAGGTTAGTTGGTGGAGCAGAAAGACAAATTCGAATAGATAGGTTTAATGCAAAGAATTCATCCAGATTTTGTTTTTTTCTATCTACTAGAGCTGGTGGTTTAGGCATAAACCTTGCAACTGCGGACACAGTAATCATATATGAGAGTTCAAATTTGCAAGTTATGGTTTTATTGACATACAAAAATGAGGCACAATTAAATGGTCCAAGAAATGGCGTCCAGTTAGGGAATTTGAGGGATAGGCTCAAATGAGATCATTGTAAAATATAGTAGAGGCCCATAAATGAAGGACTATTATTGCTCAAGCCTGCAAGAAGCCCAGGGTCTGAGCGAATGAAGTGTCTTATTGTCGCTCAGAGTGACGGTCCCATTCTCGTATAAGCCTTCGAGACGCCCAAGATCTGAGCAACGTCTTGTTGTTATTTAAAGCAGTGTTTATTGAAACAGTTATTGAGCAATCTTATCATGTTCCACGATCCAAGAATCTCGGTTGCAAGCAGTTAAAAGATAGGAGTAATAGCATGTAATGAAGTTACGCTCGTTGAATTACGTATTGATAGATGAGAAGCTATTCAAGAAATGCTCAGATGGTGTGTTATTGAAATGTGTGAGTTTTCAAGAGGCCAAAACAAACATGGCTGAAGTGCATGAAGGAATATGTGGAGCCCATCAAGCTGGCCAAAGAATGAGATGGTTGATTGTTAGAAGTGGATACTTTTGGCCCAAAATACAAAATGTTCTATAAGTCGCAATTGGAAGCAGGCTATCACCGTTCTTCTATCAACTACTACAGATTGGCCTCCGTCGCCTTCCTAAGTGCATTTTTGCAATGATGGGCAAACGGTTAAAGAAGCACTCTCGACAAGCAATTGGCTTTCATCTAGAACTCTCTCTGGATATCATAAATGGAAGAGGTGCTGAGAATACCTTCATTGACCAAAGAAATATTTTATATATCTCCCATACCAAAAATAATATCAAGTTAGATGGTGAAATAGAGGAAAAGATCAAATGATCCATTTCTGCTGAAAGATGAGATAGTTTATCAATTATCTAAATGCCAAACGATGGCAAGGAATCTAATTTTGTGGAGAGTGAGGATGAATATGACAAATGTGTAACATATACGCATTTATAGAGGTATGAAGGTGAAAAGACGGAATGCGAATGGCCATTTACATGCGTAGTAACTGAAATTGAAGGCCCAAATCTTGGAAAGGAAAATTGGAATACCAATAGTTTTGTTCTGTGTAAAGATTCCACAAGGGGAAGGGGCACGATTACGGCACAAGGTTAATAATTAAATATTTGGGGACGTTGACGATTGAAGAAAACGTCAATTATGCTGTTTCAGAATCCATACGAAAGATATTACACAAGTAAATAAAATGGTCATTCCATTAATGAAATTGGCTGCCATTACATTTGAATTAATAGTGGCTGCCATCACAAAATTATAAGGAAAATAAAGACATTAATGTCTCAATTACAGTTTGCCCCAAGTAGAACCCATATGTTCCCTAAGTTTCCTCCATTCATCACTCTGTTCGAAAGAAGCAGTGGATAGCTCAGTCATAAACCCCTAGTCAACTTCCAGCTTTGCGTAACGCTCAACAAAAGACTTGGTTTGCTCAACTCCTTGGGAAGCATTACACTTCTTGGTAGCTAATCTAGCCTTACAGTCGTCCATCCTCATTTGGAGTTCCTTCATCTCTGCAGCCAGGTTTATCATCAAAGAGTCATCAATCATAACTTCAAAGGAGATTTTGTTTAGATCAACCTTGGCATTCTCAATCTCTTGAAGCAAATACTCTTTTTCTGCTATAGCCTGGAGATACCGAGTCTTCTTGGCCTTCAACTCGATGTTCCTGGCTAGCAAAGAGCGTTTCTCGAAGTGGATAATCTTCAACATCAGCTTAAAGTCATATGAAATTTTGAGCGAAGGACCTCCAGTGCTTGAGCTATTTTCGCACTCAAGAGCTCAAAACTATCCATTTGTCTAGCAGTACTGGCTTTGTTGATATCCATATCCATGAAGGAAACGTATTCAAGCACTGATTGCTTGAGAACATTCATATTTTCTTCCTAGAATACAGCATATGAAGCAGAAGGACCACTGGCTGAAGAAGTTCCCAAGAAGTGAACAAATCTTGGATGGAGAGCAAGATGACGTCAGTGTCTCGTAAAGAAAAATGTAAGCATTTAGCATTTTTCATTGCACTAAATAAAGTGAAGATAAAAGATAAAACAAAGGCCACCTCATCAACAGTTGTGGAAAGTTGGGGCACATCACTGGTTGACTCAGCTATTTGTGGAGACTTCCCCTTGTCTGGACGAGCAGGCTCCGCCACAACGGGCAGGTCCATTGGAATCTCTGCAAAATTCAAATAGCAATGAGTTGAAGGCCAATAGTACAAGCAAGAAAAAAGACCATGAGATATGAATTACCTTCCGGTTCAACAAGTGGGGGGGTCAACGCCCTGGGAAGGTGGCAGTTCTCTGGTTTGCTGTGCATGCGAAGACTCTGGCACTATAACTTTCTCTTTAGGCAAGGCCCCTGCATCAGATAACTTAGATGAAACAGATTCAGTAGAAAGTGATGGAGCAGTGGCTGCTAAAGTCAGAGCCTTCGAATGAGAAGTTAAGCTCTTTTGAAAAATTTAGGTAAAAATATTAACCTATGAAGAATTGTTGTTTCATGAATAAACAAGCTCAATTACTTTTCTCCTAATGATGAGAGAAGCATCATCATCATCATCGGCTAAAACTGGTGGAGCTAAAGTTGGCAGTTTGCTGCTAGAAGCACCTATAGCTATACTAGCTTGAGCAGGTGGCGAACCAGACGGAGGAACAAAACGTTTGACACGAACAGGTGGCGATTTAGAAGGGGAAACAGATTCCTAATAGATACAGGAATGGCAGGAATAGGAGAAGAGGAAGTCTCTAACCACTCTAGCAGGTGGAAAGCACAATTGGCCTTAATTGTGAATAGCCTACGTTTCACAGACGGCCAGAGTTGTTCAAAAATGGGATGAGTGGCAAAAGTGGGGCGAAAGGAGCCAATGAAAAGCCTTTGGTCAAAAGATTATTACCTGCATTAATGGCTTGTACCTCTGTTTTATTTATGGTATGAAAACGCTCTATCAAGCTTTTAAAAAAGTAGGGAGGAACAGGACACATCTGGCCAAAATCAAGCTGACGAGCAAAAAATTGGGGAGCATATATCTCAACCTCAGCCTTGACATTTGTTCCGGTTAAAATATCATGGAAGAATTCCTTCCCAATCAAGAATTGAGCCCAAATGGGTAAGAATATGCTCACATCATCCATAGTGGAAGGAGGCTGCATGTAGTTTGGAATTAAGGGAGCAGGGAAAGGAAAAAATATAGAAATTGA